CTTTATTTACCCACAGCTGGGTCTAGCACAGAGGCTGTTTCTTGGCTGTGGGCTCTTTGATGCCATAAATGTCATGTATAAGGGTAACAGAAGATGCCTCCTGTCTGCAGCGCCCAGGCTGAAACTCAATTATAGTCACAGTATCGGTGTAAGAAACTGTTCAAAAAGAATGGTCATTAACTGGGCTATACAAAATGCATTTTATGGAGCATGTACCGGGTTGCAAAATCTGCTCAGCTGTAACATACAGACACAGAGATGTTGATCTCAACTTTAGGAGGATAAAGAGATAAAATAAAGAAACTTCAAAGCCTCTGGGCAAAGTCTTTTTGGTTTCACTGTAAGTGCTTAAGGGCCACATTCAGGCTCCGTAACACACAGAAATTATCATACTCCAGAAGCAGCGGCAGGCAGAAATCAGGAGGGTGCTTTGGCAGGTCTGATGCTGCTGACATTATCCAGTGTAGGGCCAGATTTGAATAAGCATTTTCATAACCGAGTTCTTAAGGTCTTGGCTTTCCATGGTCAACGGCAGGATTCACAGACATGATATACGTAGGGACTCATTCTTAAAAGCATGCACTTCTGTCTTCTCCCGTGAAATACAGGGAGAGGTTGTCATACTCAACAGAAGAGTATAAGACCCAGGCTAAGTGATTTGAAAACCCCGCTTATCTGTCCAGGCACAAGACAGAAGTGAGAGGTGGCTCCTCCCAAGGGCAGCCCGCAGACTCCTTGTCAAATGCAGTCTTTGCCTCGGTGAGAATTCCTCAAGCTGTTTTGGATTGGTTTCTAAAGCAAATGTGAGTTTAAAAAGGTGCAAAGACTGAAAGGCAGTGTATGTTATGCTGAGGTCATCTTGCATTTTCTCCAGAACTAAAATTGAATTTAGGATCTTGGCAGAGAACAAACATTTGCATTGGAAACTGGTTAATTTATGTGCTATTGCCCTGCTAGGACTAAAGTAACAAACCCCTCATTGTGTGCCTCCTGCCCCCCAACCTAATAAACTGCCTCTAAATAGCCTCCTTTCATTGCAAATTTGCTCCACCTACATTTGTGCTGAATGCTGGTTTTAAATGTTTAGCACTCTAAAATTTTCCGCATTTAGTGTATCCCTCCAGGGTATGGGCTGACAGAAGTACATATACAGGCCCCCACTGTTGACTAGAATACTGCAGGTGGCAATTACAGCATTTTGCACTAGTTCTCAGCTACATCATTAAAATAATTTCCAGAACAGTTGTCAGAAGGTTCAAAATTACAGCTCTTCTATCCAAAAGTTACAACACCGGACTTTGAAAGATAACTGATCATAATAAAAAGTCTTATTTTCTCAAAGCCACCTAAAGGCTTCTTAAAGTTAGTACTAACTTTTATATATAATCATGGTTCTACCTATGTTAATATTATCTCTCTTTTACAGGTCTTTTTTATATTAAGAAATATGGTTACAGCTTTAATTATTCAGCAGCTCATTTTACATGTTAGTTGACAGACTGAAGAAAATATTATGTAGCCATATGAATTTGCATATATAAACATTCAGTATGCTCTGCTTGAAATTTAATATTTCTAAGTCACAGAATTTGTACATATATGTACACAATATGCAAAATGTCCCACTATATTGAAAACCATTGTCTCCATTAATACGGACTACTATAAAAACAATAAAAAATCCTACCCAGAAGGTCCTGACAGGAAGACAAGGCTGTCTAATACCATATTCTAGACTTTTTCTATCTCCTACATGATATTTTATTACCTATTTTACAACAATTAAGTTTACTATTTCAACTAAGACACATGGTTTAATGTACAGAGGTATTGCTTGGGGAAATCTCAACTGCCCTTCAACAATGCTTGTATTTGGACAGCTCTCCCATTCTAAATTATATATATTTTGAAATAACATTTCAGATTCACTCCTTTTGTAACAGAGGAGTTACATTTCAGCAGGGTATCTGAAAACCTACCAGAAATCTGAAAATAAACAACAGGCAGAGAAAATGCATCTTCTATTTAAAAACCGACTGATTTCAGATAATTGAATTGGATATTGATCTTCAGAGGAGGTTCAGGTAATTGAGACTTTCTTTTAACTAAAGAAACCCTGGGAGACACTGGGAAAGAGGTTTCCTCTCATATTGTGTCATGTTTTTCAGGCATGTATAGGTAGTTTTAAGAGAAACAGGTTACGTACTTATCTCTTGGAAACTCCCATTTTGGGTCTTCTGGCAATTCATATTCCGAGACTCCTGCCAGCATGGGGGCATCGGCAGTAGAGGAGAGGCGAGTAGTTATCCTCACCAGAGGTGTGTTGGAATTCATGGAGGAGCTTGAGTCAGCTGACACCTGTTGTTGCAATACAAGATGCAAAAAGGGAAAAAAAAGAAAAAAAGAAAAAAAAAAAGGCAGACATGTAATCTTGACCCAGTATCTGAAAAACAGCAGTACCTGATAACCAAGCCAGCTCAGAACAGGGTTATTGGGAAAAAGTGGCTTAACCTACAGCCTTGTTTCCAGTACACTAATCTCACGCATTTACCCTCCCTTGTAAGCGCAGTACTGACTCTAATTGCTGCTAAAGCTGTAACTCTGTCCCATAGGTTGAATACCCTGGACATTTTTAATACATTCACTCAGAAGATAAATTAAATAAACTTTTCTTTTTTCTTGTTTATTAAATGAATATTTTTTAATCAACTGAGAGTATTTACATGGCCACCCTGAGATACCAAAGTGGGCAGCTTATACTGTGAGCAGAGGTTACCAATAACCTCTTCTTCCACTCACTTCTAGTTGTCCATGTCTCCATTTCTTTTCCCAAATCAGCACACAATTTTGTACTTTTGGGTGTTACTATTAAATTGAAATTTTGAATTTTTAATTGAAAAATGTTATTTTTGTGAAGGCTCCCGTATTTTTTCATCAGTGCCAATGATCAAGGTTACATGCATATTACTGTGTAGGAAATGTTGGATTATCTCACACCAGCTCCCAAAACTTGGGTCACAACAGCCCCGTGCAATGCCACAGGCGTGGGGCAGAGTGGCTGGAAAGCTGCCTGGTGGAAAAGGACCTGGGGGTGCTGGTCAACAGGTGGCTGAATATGAGCCTGCAGTGTGCCCAGGTGGCCAAGGCAGCCAGACGCATCCTGGCTTGTATCAGGAATAGTGTGGCCAGCAGGAGCAGGACAGTGACCGTGTGGGCACTGGTGAGGCTGCACCTTGAATGCTGGGGTTGGTGTTGGGCCCCTTACTCCAAGAAGGGTATTGAGGGGCTGGAGTGTGTCCAGAGAAGGGCAATGAAGCTGGTGAGGGGTCTGGAGCACACGGCTGATGGGGAGCGGCTGAGAGAACAGGGGGTGTTTAGCCTGGAGAAGAGGAGGCTGAGGGGAGACCTTATTGCTCCCTACAACAGCCTGAGGGTGTAGTGAGGTGGGTGTCGGTCTCTTCTCCCAAGTAACAAGTGATAGGATATGGGGAAATGACCTCAAGTTGTGCCAGGGGAAGTTTAGACTGGATATTAGGAAACATTTCTTCACTGAAAAGGGTTGTCAAGCATTGGAACAGGCTGCCCGGGGAAGTGGTTGAGTCGTCATCCCTGGAGGTATTTAAAAGACAGGCAGATGTGGTGCTTAGGGGCATGGTTTAGTGGTGGACTTGGCAGTGTTAGGTTATGATCTTAAAGGTCTTCTCCAACCTAAATGATTCTATGATGCTCTATTGTTAGACAATATTCATTCAATATTCAAAGCATCAAAAATTATTGCAATAATTGGGGGATACTTAAGTTTTCATTTAACTACATTCTTAATTAAAGATTCTGCAGGCAATGGGAGAAGAGCTCCTAAAAATAATTTAATGTCCAATGCTTTGAAATGTAATTCACTGTGGAGTACAATTTCTCATCAGCCTCAACAACATTTTCCTTAGAGCATCAAAGGTACTTAATGATAACTGCTTTGAAAAAGGAAGCAGCTATTCCATCCAAGTAACAAAACTTGTTTTGATGTGAATGGTGTATCTTCAATAAGACTCTTTCCTCAAACCTGGAAGCAGCAGCCTGCTGACCTCAGAGTTTCAAGTGAATACAAACACAAAACAAAAATGCTTGTATTGTCAGCCTTCCTGTCCTTTAAATGTGAATCCTCCTTCTCTCTTCAGGCCATGACGGTCTTGGCCAAGCCCAAATCTGGTGGCCAAGGCAAGACAAAGGTTGTTTCACAATGCCATCGCCGGTACCCATCCTCACATCAGGCAGCAGGAGGTGTTTCTCAGCCAGCACTGTTGGGACCCTGCCCAAGCTGGAAGCCTAGAGCATCAGAACACCTACCACTCTCGACCTTTGTCCTCATCACCTGGAGTCAACTTTGACACCAGGTTTGCTTATGTAAAATGTCACCAGGCTACAATTTTGTTCCACAGGTCTTATAACTAGATTAAAAAAAAGCATTTATAAGCAAAGAGATCCTAATAGCACTAAAGTGCAAATCAGTGACAGTGATATGAACACAAAATCCTCTTGTCTCTATGACACCTCGTAAGTCCAACTTAGTGCTCCTTTATATTAAGACCGATTAACAATTACAGTGTCTGAGCCCACAGAATTACTCAAGCTCCTCAGAATGGGGCTGAAAGGCTTTTGCAAGCCATGCTCTTACACGATGTATTTTGACAAGACAAGCGTAAGGCTCTCAAACAAATTTCTCATCATGACTCTGACCACCCGTTTTGTTTGAGAGCTCTTTTTTGCAGGTAGACAACCTCCAACCCATCTCATCAAATAGGTTTGGCTTCTTGACACATTTTTCTAAGATCAGAGATTGAGAGTGGAAAGAGGTTTCATAAGGAAGAAAGTGTTAAGGATTGCTATAAAAAAAATGAACCTTGGTAAGCAGTTTTGCAACTGACAGACCTTTCTTGATATCAGAGGCACCAGCTTCTGCATGCAAGATGTGGTGTCTATGGAACAAGCGAGTATAACTGCACAAATAAGGTTACCATTCAAAAAAGAAAGGTGGACCACTTTCCCCCTCGTTCATCCCACCATCATTAATGTTAATATTTACTTTCAGCAAATGTATGTACCCGACACATTCCTCTAGGATAATAAATGTGGTGACCACTTGGGATACAAAAAGAAAACTACTATTAAGGCAGACTATGTAGCTCTAAATAAATCAGTAAATGAACACTGAACAGAGTTCTTTGAGAGAGATGCTGCCATGCCCAGTCTACAGGGGGGAACACACTTGCTGGAGCTGCATGGCAAGCCAACATGAGAACCAGGGCTGGAATTAGACATTTGCTTTTTTTCCCCCCCCCCTCATTTTTGTTATTTCATCATGAATTAAAAATAATGCTTCGTGAAATGAACCAGCTCAGCACTAAGAAATGTGCAAATCTCCATGAACAATGTGGCAACTTCTCTGTCCCCCACGACTTCCCCTGGATTTAATTTTTCTGTTATTTCTGGTTTCCATTTTTTTATCTCTCACCACAAACCTACTAATACTCTATGACCACTTTCTCCATATTTCCAAAGTCCAACCACTATTCTCCAGCCATTTTACCAAGATATTTATTCAAGTCTTGATTCTTATTTATTAACATTGCCTTTACTTTCTTGCCTTTCTTTGTCATTACAGCCATTGTTTTCATCAGGACATCAGGAAGGCATGGAAGTGAAGATGCAAAATTTAGATTATACCCCTTACGTAGCCGAAATGGCCCAAAATGTTCTGGGGTCTTTTTTTTTTCATGAATACAGTATTTGTATTAGACACTGTTCAGATCCCAGCCAGAGTTTCATCTTTTCACTAGCTCTTAAACTCACAATTCAGCAGTCTTAGAATGGTTAATGCCTATAAATGTAAACTTACAATGAACTTAAATACTCTGGTGATGCATTTCAAACAGAATTTAAATAGTAATAATGTATAGAAAAAACAGGTGAAAGACTCTGCCAATTTGCCTTTTAACACAATTGCACGTTTACTTCACATAGTAACTGGATGATTGGCCAGAGATGCTGTAGGTAACCAAAGTGCATTAATGTGGATAAGAATGATGAGAAATCCAGAGGAACTACTCGGTGCCTGGGAGAAGAAAAATGGACTACACTCCCAGGGAATATTCTTCTGACTGATTAACTGGAGCAGTACAGTTACAGGAGCTGAAGGGCTATAAAAATCTGCTCCAGAAAAGACAAAGCCAACCCAGGATGGCCTATGGTTGGAGGAGATATTCCGTTTCAAAATGGCCTTTCACCTTTTCTGCAGTAGCAAAGAATTAACCTTTGAACTCATCCCTTAAGCATCTTTTTTCATTGCCTTAGAGGGCACTATAAAACAATGAAGAAAACCCTACCCACTCCAAGGTCATTAAGACACGATCAACTTTAATCTAGGTGTATACATTTAAGTAGCAACATATAGAAAGCCTTTTTCCAGCCTGCTGCTTTCCCGTTGTCATCTGTAGCACTGCTCTCCAACCCCTTACCATGCAGGTTTAAGAACGAGTGACACTCCTGCCATGAACCCCACATTTCAGTGTGTGGAGTTGCTTTCAGGTACATGGATGCTCTTTTTGCTTTCAGTTATGCAAAGATTCAGGGTACATGGGACACAGGCATAACAGAGGCCATACTCAGTTTTTGCAGCAAGCTTATAATTGTATGTCAAATATACAGACTCCAGGGCCACTGTGGGTCTACCAGATGCCAAGAAGCAGCAGCTGAACATCTAGTCAAAATGCATGAACTTCTTGGGCAATCACCCAGCTCACCAGCATGGGCTTCTTGGAGGTAAAGCAACAAAGCAGAGCCAGGGCAGAGAAGCAAGGAAGGCTACCTGATGTAGGTGGATTCTTCAAGGTCTACTCACTCTGTCGGTGATGCTTGTTTTCAGTGATGGCACTACACTAAGAAGGTATTTTGAGTGCTTAATTAAAGCAAGGAAGGCAGAAGTCAGCTTGACTTGAGCAGAACACTGAAAGGACTACAATGGTATACATTAAACTCAACAGGAAGGTAGACCTCCACCATAAAAAATTCTTTGTGTGCTTCCCTTCTCCTTTTAGGAGGCCAGAACCAAGAAAAGTACCTCAGAGAGATCTTTAGCTCTATATCTGCACTTCAGAAGGAGAAAAGCCCACTGTGTCCAAACCTCACGCACCAATGTGTTATTATATTCCCATTTTAACAACATATTTGTCCTTTGGCCAACACACTGTATTTAATAAGCTCTGAGATAGTGCTTTACAAGGACTTCTGAGCAGCAGAACATTTAAAACAAATGAATCTTTGCTGGATTCTTTTAATGCCATGTGGCAAAATCAGCTGTGGAGCAGTGTGTAATTGTCTGTAATTGATTATGAAGGGTGTTTTCCTCCATGACGATTTATACCATATCCCGAAACCTAGATCTGTCAGTTCTGGTATTCATGCCCTGAGATTTTAGCACCCATGCAGCTATTTCCTATAATTATCCGTCTTTTTGAAGGCTCTGCTATGAAGTTAATTTGAAGTCATATGCCTATATGTATATAAATATAATTAGTAAGTAATGCTATTAGCTGTTGATAGAAACCGTCCATCTGAGTGACCAGATCTAGGAAAATATAAGGTTAAATGCACTACATGAAAGTGAGGATTCTTAATGTTAAATACTGACTTTAAAACACATGCACTACCCCTTAATGAAAAGCACTCCTTCTGAAACTCAAAGCAAAATAACACAAGTACTACTAAGGAAGTTGATGGTTTCCTTACAGAGAAATCCAAGGATAAAGCAATGAACTAAAATAGGTATTAAGGTAAATTCCTTGCAACTTATCCTACTGACAGTTGTGTATTAATCCTTGTATTTCAGGGTCTATTCCTTAAAATGAATGATATTTTTACAGCTCAATACTACCTGAAATACTATGTTACTTTACTTGTTCCAGATTACTTTTTTTCAGGTTCCAGCTGCCACCATCATTTTGAATTACCTATTTTGCTTGGTAAGCCTAAATCTTACTTTAAACCAATCAGACTTTGCTCATCACAAATGTGCTCACTAACTTTATGAAGGGTTAGAATCAACAGCCGCAATAGATACAAATTAATGGGAATGTATTTAAAATAGTAAGCATAAGAAATTATTCCTCCCTATTTAAGACACACATATACGACCAAGTTGAGGGGGTCCAAATTTGAACAGATTAACTGTGATAGAACTAACGAAATGGTCTAGTGATCACAAACACTTGTACTTGACTTTGACTGGGGCAAGTCACAAGAGATAGGACCTTCTATAACCACTAGAGCAGCACGGTCTTTTTGTCCGTTTTAATTGTAATTTATTTGTTAAATTAAAAAAAAAGTTCTAAAAACATCTTCCTATTAAAGACTACTCTTTACCTTTTGGTTCAGTGAACCTGTAACCTAAAGCCTATACTGCAAATCGGCTTGTGATGTTCAATCCTACAAATACTTCTTCCCACTCCCATGCAAGATGGTACTTCTATGCAGAACATGGCTAATGCCAACAGAGCTCTGCAGCCCTGTTTTTATATAAAGAAAAGTAACTGCTTGCTGGCTTTCCTGCAAGCATTTTTTATTTTGAAAACCAACTACCACATCCTAGTGAGGCTGAGGATTGTAGGGGGACGGAACTGATCATGACCCCTCCTATGAATGCAAAAAGAACCATGTTTTGGCAGGAAAAAAAATGTCTGCATGTGGGGAATGATAAAGTCCTGTAGTAGCTCAGACTAAATAGTGTATGAGAATCCAGGCCTGCAAACCAAACCATATGTTACTCAGCAAGACTCTTATCCAGCTTAGACAAGATGGCATCACAGTCATGCAAATGCCTCTTTGTGAACCAGGATTATTTTCATACCCAGATCCTTAGGGAGCTTGACCCAGCAGCAGAGCACTTTGAAAAGAATATCAAGAATTCCCCCATCTATGGCCTCATTTCTCTGGAATTCCAACAAATCCCATCACCTAGCCCCAGATCTCTACCCAGCTCACACAGTTTACCTGCCACGATCATCTCCCCTGCTTGCTCTCACCCATCTTCTCAAAGCTTGGCCAGTTTCTCTATTCCTCCCACATAAAGCACAGCACAAAGGCAGTGGAGAACCTTCTGTGATCACCAGATAAATCAAAAGATTTAGTGACAAACCCCCACCAGGCTTTAAATACAATCCTCTGAAATACAAATAAACTGAAACAAAAAAGTAAGCCTGGTGGTACAACAAAACAAACAGTTGAATAATCCAGAAACACATACCCATTAAATGAAACACCTCCTGGATTATTTTTTAACTCTTAATTTGTGACAAAAATTCTGAAATCCAAAACCAGCTTTAAAAGACACAGAAATTAAACAACTGCTGCAGCCTTAGAGACCAAGAAGATGCTAACTGAAAAATTAAGGAATCTTCACTGTTGATGAGCAAGTCTTCAGGGACTGCTCGTCTCATCCTGCCTCTGCAAGCTAATACAATTAGTGAAATGACCAGTGAAATCATCAAAACAGAAATGCAGATTTCTTTTAAGGTTATAGTAGTTACATTTTCCTCTATAAAGTTATAAAAGCAGAGACTTCTTCAAAGAGAAACTCCTGTTAATAAAAAAGTACTTGGGAGAAATGAGAGTAGTGGAATTTTTGCTTAGGGGTTGAAATAGGATTCGCACTTTCAAACGTACACTGTTTTTAAAAAAATTATTCCAAATTTTAAAAGACGTTTTTTCTGAGAAAATATAGAAAACCAAAATAAACCAATAAACCCTATCTGACAAGAATGCTGTATGGCAGAGATTTTTTCCTCTGTGCAAACAATAGCTTTGGAGAAGGTCCATATTGCATCATGTAACGATAAATAACTAAACTCAGGGCAGTGGTTGGCACTGCTGTCACACGCAATGAAATAACGCTCTCCCCGCGAGGAACCATTTCCAACTGACACAACTGAGCTCACACCAAACCCTAGGTATTTTTATGTCGTCACCTGATCTCTGAGTCATTATGATGCTTTTATATTCAGGCAAAAATCTAATAAATGTTTTTATCTAAGCAGTTGATATGTATCTCTCTCTGGTTAAGTACACAACATTTGAAAAGCCTTCTTTGTCCAGAAAGCTACACAGATTTTTAGCCACAGAGATGTGTGAAATCAGCGGAGGGCTTCTCATCACTCTTTCTGATACATTCAGAGTCAAGAGTTCCTCTTCTTCCCAGTGATTTCCAAGCAAATGCACAAAATCATAAAATTACCAAAAGCCAAGTCAGGAGGGAAAAAAAAAAAAAAAAAAAAGAATTAACATTTTTTGCCCATAAAACAAACCAAATATTTTTCAGATCCGACAAAGTTCATGCCCCACACCTCAGTTCAGAGGAAGATGACTAAAGCATTACTACTCTGTAGTGGTTTTAACGAAGGAGATTCAGAAACTGTGAAACAAGGATTCAGAAAAAAAGCAATACTGTTCAAAATCCCAAGACCAAGCTCTACCTCTTGTGATAGTGCATCTAAATTTTAAACACTTACCCACAGGGAAGAACTATTTGTAAAGTACATGTACTACTCTGATAGTGATAATATTCTGGACAGGCTGTAAAAAAAAAGTGCAGAAATTTTGCACAACCTATTCATGGTGCAGATAGACCCAAACTAAACCCTCAGATCTAAACCCCCTGACCAGAGCCCAGATCTAACCCCTGCAGATGGTCCCTATTTTCAATAATGAGGTGAACCACAGCCTCAGATGCCAACCCCCCTCCACCTCGCAGGGCTGAAACCTGGGGGTGGATTTGGTGGGTTCAGAGAGGTCTACCCTGAAGACCTACTGCAAGAAAATCAAAACATATTAACTCCAGCTTCAAAAGAAACAAGTTTTTCAAGAGATGCTGGTATGTGGGAATGGAGGCTGTTTTGGCAAGTGGTGGCCTGTGACAAAGCCAAAGTCCTGTTACTCGTTCAACTGGTTTGTTGCTCATGGTATTGCCCTCTCCAGAAACCCTCATTGCCAGCCACAAGCAATTGTAAAATGTATTTCATGCAATGCTGTTGTGTGCATTTTAAATCTGACATTGGGTTTTGTTTCTCACTCAAAAGCACCAGCATCTTAATCAAACTGAGATCTAATAAAGTAGCTCCCCTATTTTTACTTTATTACAGTCTTTTTTCTATTTTGGGGTGGTTTCTGGATGCTTAGCTATGAAATTCCCTCCCTTCAGTCTTCAGAATTCTTCCTGAAAAAAATACCTCTCTGTATCTGGTACCTAGTTACTACAATAATAGTCGCCTTAGAAACATTATAAATACATAATTAAATAGGATTGTGTTCCAAAGTCCATTAAGTCAGTAAAAATTTTTCCATTGACTTCAGTGAGCTGTAGGATCAGGCCCCAAAATACTTTAAATATTTTTTTTCCATCTATAGCCTGCTAATACAGAACATACTCCATTTTTTTGCATTTCTCCTCTAACATCCCTGCCCCAATTTCCTTGCCTTGAAACACACATTGCTCTGTTAAGATATACTTTCTTCTTAAGCCAGTCTCCTAGGTGCCAGATTAAATCCCACCCGTACTGCAGTTTGGTATAATCCTTAATTTTTTCCCCTTTACAAAGACTTCATCAGAAGGACATGCTGGCCTAGTTGTTTGGTAAAAGTCTTTTAAACTCTTTATCTACTTTCTGTTACCTGTCTGCGCAGAGGGATTCGCTTTGTCAGCTTATGGACGGCAGGCTGGCTGCTGAAATCGGGCTTCTTGGCGGTGTTCTTCATGCGACACAGGATGACTGTCAGCACCATTAAGGCAATTAAGAAGACCCCTATGCAGTAAATTGCTATTTCCAGGTAGTCTGGTGATGTCGGATATTCTTTTTCTTTTTCAGGAGCTGGATTGGAAGTTTTTAGGAAGGAACAATCATGCCACAGAGTTAGCACATGGTACAGGCATAGTTTAGTACAGTGCTTGGAACAACTTCAAATGGTATAATGTCAGCAATCCTTGCAGTGACTGTGTGACATACAGAACACTGTGAATGTTTAGGCCATCTTGCAATCTGAGAGTAATTCCCTCTTTCTAGATCACCGAGTTGACTTCTCAGTTTGCCACTGAGTGTGAGCTTGTGCATGTATGCATACATATATAGACACATACATGTGTATAGACACATACATGTGCCTGCCTAGGTAAGTAGATATGTATACATTGAAATATTGGATAATCAAGCACAGTTGTAGGGGAAAAGAAAAAACGGAAGTGTTCAAACTAGGCTCAGGTTCTTTTTGTTGCTCAAGTCAAACTTCAAAAGCACTGTAATTCTTTTTAACCACATAAAGACACACCTGAAGATAAAATATTGAATTATCTAGTCTAAAAGAAAAGTGCCTAAATTCGCAAATAGACATTTGGGCTTGAGTCTGCATTGCCTGTTTATCCAAAATTTTCACTGGGATCTCAAAGTACAGGGGGAAGGCAGGATGAATCAATCCCTCATCATGTTTCTAAACTCAGGTTAGGGATTTCAAGAGAGTTTCGAGGACCCAGCTGCTTAACTTGCTGCAGTTCATGCCGGGTGCCCTACTCCCCCGAGGTCCTTTGAAGAGCCCAGTGGCAGATTAAAAACCATAACGGAAGCAAAAGCTGAATTGCTTGCAATACGGTAATTAATGAGTTCTCTTTTGGGAGGACTGTGTATTTCAAGTAACCTCATCAGTGGTTACCAGTCTATGAGATTAGATTTTAGTGGGAGTGGTTCTACATAGCTGTTACTCTGATTGAAACCATTCTGAAATTACCTTTTGAGACAGTTATATGTGTAAACACTGTCCCTAATCCCTTTATCTGGGATTCATCCCCCAGATAAACAGCATTCCACAGCAATCAGCGGTCACTCTGCAAGCAATGCACATTCAAGCTGAAATTTTCACGTGCCTCATTCTAGGCTTATAAAAATACTTCATTCAAGAAAAATCGGTTAAAGAAATGCTGTTCAAGCACTTGCAAAACTGCAAACACTGCTAGCAGAAGCAAGCTCTACACAAGTACTGCTTTGCCTGCTTGGTGACAGACCACGCAGGCTCGGTGTTCACATAAGAGTGAGATGTAATAAAAGTTCCCTTGTTCAATACATATTAATAAAGGGCAAGAAATTTTCTGCAGAAAGTGGGAACATTTCACTCCCATAATATGAACCTCAGCAATATGCACGTGCAAGTTTCGTACCTTTAACTTAGGATTAACAATTAATAAATGGTAAGCACAAGATGAACCAGCAAACTTCAGGTGATTCATGTTTTTTCAAAGGAACTCCTAAGGCAGCTGCCAACAGTTATAAATGAGAAAATCTGACTCATGTCAAAACCAACTATGGTTACATCTTCTAACAGCTGATAACAATTTTCAGGCAATATGCACATTGATGTTTGTTTCTTTTAAGGACAGAAACATCATCAACCCCAGAACAGCAAGACATGCTTTGCAGTTAAAAGCAAATGACTACATGTTTTCTTAGAGCATGCAATGTTTAAAGATGCACGGAGCTGATTCCCAAGATGTGGAAGGCACTGCTTCTGTACACGATATGCTGGCATCAAAATTAGAATTTCCTTAACAGATTTGGATCATAGGTAAAAGCGAGTTTAAGCACACTGAATAGCTCAGGTATTTTAATGAATCAGTACATGACTGTGGCCAAATTAGCACCAAAGCTTCATAAGAAACTTTGAATATCCTCCTCTTGAAAAAGTTTACAATGATTAATGTGCTGATTTTCAGCTATCTCACTGAAGTGCTAAGGAATGCAGTTCCTTAGCATTTCTGATGAACATTTAACAGATGTAAAAATATTTCAATTAGGTGCAATAGCCATTATCTACACACACCCCCCTTTTTTTTGTTGTTGTTCAGTTTTTGGAGTTGCAAATAGGTGAAAAAACAATTCATTGGCTTGAGACAACCATATTTAAAAAAAAAAATCATTGTAATAAAGTCCTTTTCTGAGACAGAAGCCGTGCTAATGCAGCAATCAACAAGGGGGGGCAGGGGGAAAGAGGAAAAACCACAGAAAGAGAGCAGTGTATACCTGGCAGAACTGTCAACCATGCAGTGTGAAAGGATATCCCAATAGAATTACCCGCCAAGCATGTATACTCCCCAGCATCCTCAAAAGTTACATTCCGTATATAGAGAACCTCAATTTCTTTGTCCGTGGTGTTAACACCGGCAGCCTAAAAAAAAAACAAAAGAGGGAAGCAAGAGAAAAAGCTAGACATTCAGAGAATTCTTGTGGATAGGGAGATGGAGCCACAGGGCTTTGCACTTTGTAAGGGCAGAGGTGTAGAGATGCAAAGCTCCTTCCCCATCCACAATCCCTCATCCAAAAGGCGTTTACCAGCAGGTCCCAGCTCACCTCAGAAAGTAATCAACACCCTTCACCAGACCTAAACTCACCACCTAAACATGCATGCAATCAAATGACATGGAAAAATTAACCCACAAAGCTCTTTTTTTTCCCTTCTTTTTTAATAAAAGAAAGTTGAAAGAAAAACAAAGAGAAAACAAAGTAGGACAGAATGCGGGATCCTTCACATGTAGTTACCTGTTTCAGAGGAAAGAATTTAATACAAAAATATACTCTGAAAGGATTAAAATAAAAAAGGTAAATTCTGCTCCGAAAGACACAACTTAGTAGCTGTCTTAAGCAGTGTATGGTCCTTGCATCATCCGCTACACTACACTTAAATATTGTACATTGTGCAGTGTTGCCAAATCTCATTTTAATCTGAAGTCTGGTAATATTTGGTGGTTTGCTTAGAAGTACAGTGCAAGTTATCTCAGCTCTCATTCAAAAAAGTTGTGGTGCTCAGAGATGTGGAGAAAAACTGGACCCCAAAGGTTCAAGAACCAGGATATGGAAATAAAGTATATTTTACTAAATCTTAGAGATGGAAAAAGAAGTCTGGAAATTCTTCCAGACTTGCTATATGTCTGGCATGACAAGTCATTATGCACCAAATCAATCAGCATATCAGTGATCCTCCAAACTCATACAAATAGAGTAAATCTTAGACCTGGACCATTCCAGCCGTCCCAAGATGGGTGCAGCAGGGCATCAGTGTCAAGGTCTCTATGACAGAGATTTAGAGAAATTATTGTTTGCTGCTTTTTGTCTCTGTTCCATTCCAAAATGTTACTTTGAAATACACAATGAGGGGGAAAAAACCACGTTTTTACCAGACCATTTAAAAGTAAATTTAGTTGTGAGTTGTAGTCACATTGTTGCCAGTCTTTATTGTTATTGATGGGTTATTACCCAGTTAATAATGGGTGAATAATGACTGGAAAACGCTCCCACCCTGCACAGTCATAGGTGACATGGGAAGCTGTGACTAAACCGATCTGACTTATTTATGCTTCAGTGGGTACTTATGTGAACATTTCAAACATATATACACACACATATGTGTATATATATAAATATACACTAATTAAGTTGAAATTATATTATTCAATGAGTACCCTATATGTGAACTGCAAAGTATGCAGAATTAACAACAAAACTGGACATAAGCACACAGACATGAAGACACCAAACACAAGAGAGAATAAAGATCAGCATCAGAAACCCGTGCTTATGGTACACACAGAATATTGTGGGAATTTTTCCATGGCTGCTGGTGTAATACCAGTTGCATCACCAAAGGAGGATTACACATATACCACAAGGCCAAAGAGTTATCCTACAAGCTGCCTGCAGTCTCCCAAAGCACCATTTTTTCCAGCTTCTACATCCAGCTTGCTTTAAAAAACATTGTTACCTTGATTACTTGGCAGAACAGAGAGCCAGGCAGACTGGTTGGCCTCCCCTATATAATTGGAGACCTTACAAATATATTCTCCAGCGTCCGCCTCTGTCACATTGTACAGTGTCAGCACTTCAGCATTGGAACTATTTATCCCCGAATGCTAGAATAGACCAATAACACAGGAGAACAACGTCACTGCTGCCCAAAATGGACACCAATCTGTCTACGGTCCCACCACCAACACGTCATAAGAATACACCTTCCACTTCATACAGGTATCAGTATCAAAACATTGAGGGTTTGATTGGGGTTTTTTTTGTTGTTTGTTTGGCTTTTTTTTGAATCCAAAATATCACTAAAGCACCTGGGCTGGTACACCAGCTGCGTGGAGCAACATGGTACAGAGCTGGCTGCCCTGCCTGCCAATGTGCTGAGTTCTGGCAACACCACCCAGCTCGGAAAACTTTGGAGTTTCCTTGGTCAGGCTTGCTCAAAACATCCACCGGCAGGAATCACACCATCAATACACTGGCAAAAAATGGACATCTCTGGAGTCTCAGCATCCAGAAAACCAAATCCTACCAACAAAATTTTGGCAGCAGGTGTCACATTACTTTGAAATAAAGAGGCTGAAGAAATGTGAAAAATTGAGCAGACTGTCCCAGGTACGTTTTGGATGCATTCGACCCATACATAAATGTCAATGACATTCTTTAAGAGGGTTTTTCACTTTTTTCTGAGTAAGTCATGCCTGAAACATTCAGAGATAAAGGACTTCTTCAAGGAAGTAAAAAAGATCAAACCAGTGTCTATAAAGCTGCACAATTAGCACTTCGACAATTAAATGTTTATCTATCTCATTATTTCATTTGTAGCGTCAACACTGCCATTTTCAAAAGCTCAGACCTCAGAATTCTTGGATTTACATCAAATGAATTCAATGCTTTAAAGAAGTTGTCACCATCGCCGGCATCTGTAAAGCCTCACCTTTAAAACCTGAAGATATGGCAGTCCATCTGGTCCGTATTTACTGCCATTCTTCTCTACATGTTTTATCCACTGAATATGAGGTTGAGCATCACTGTAGACTTTGCAGACAAACTCAACATCACCTCCGACGACTGCAGAGGCATTTGCTGGAAGGCCAGCTTGGAGGATGGGCCTATGCGGTGATCGCTCTATTCGGGTGGGGAGAGGGAGAGAGAAGGATCGAGAGAGAGAGAAATAAAGATGCACAAATAAGCAGAGCTGCCAAGAAAACTGTAAGTGAACTCGAGCCAAAAAGCCCTGTAAGCCTGTTGGCTGACTCTGCCGAAGTAACACTGCAGCCAAAATGTGTAACAAAAACTACAGTTCAAAGTAGAGGACTTGAGCGCTACACTCGTTGAAGAATAGTTGTTTGGGGGGGAGGGGAAAAACCTTGTTTAAAAACTTTAAGCATTTTTCATAGTTCAACTCATCAAGAATTAAGTAATTTATTTTTTTTTTTGGAGCTACTGTAATACGTACCTCTGAGTTTTGAAACATGCTAATTGGGCTAAACCTCCACAAGTTAGGAAGAAAGATTATTGATTAAATTAATAAACTAATTTGACATACTAAAATAAACTGAAGGGAATTTCTCAAAACCAGCAGCAGAAGCCTCAGCACTGAAACTCCTCATGCAGGATTCATGTACCAGACAGCTCAACTTTTCAAAACACTCGGACCAGTACTGCCACGATAGCTGTTCTCGACTTTACCGAGACTCAGCAGCAGAAATACTAGTTCTTTCTTACTTCTGAGCAGGACACAGGGAAACGGAGAGTTCTCTGGAAAACTGCAACATACTTAATGTGAGCCAATAGAGCTTTTCATCTATGGATTTGCTTAAGCATTTGTCAAAAGTTCTGGGTGAGGCACATATCACTGAGCATACTAAGTGCACCCTGTCTCACCTGGGTATCTAGAAAGCCACTACAGCCAGCGTTCCCAGCCCAATTTGTGGCTGCAATATACATAGCCTCTGGGCACAGCATCGATGTGTGTCCTTGCCCTCAGCTGGGACAGCAAGGCAGCTTCCCACCACCCTCACTAAGCCTGATCTAAAAGCTGCTAAAAATGTGGTGGTGTGCAGGGCACAAGTCCAGCTCCTCAGCCTCCAGGGCCACCGACAGCCTTTTTTTGCTGGAACAGGCAAGTGGGCAAAGCATAAAAAAAATTTTCATTCAAACACTGCATAAAAGGAAGTCCTCAAAATGACAACCCTGGTTACCCAATTTCTTTATTATCCAGCGAGCATGACAGCCGATACCACCCTCCCCAGAAAACCTTCAGAGAACTGCAGTTTCATCAGCCTAGCTGGGAACTCGCCACATTCTTCATGCAAATTAACTCTGTCCGTTTCTTGTTATAAGAATGTAAAGTTAATACTGACCTATATACTTTCAACATAAGAATTTGAAGTGAAAAGCCCATTGCCCAGCCCCAGCCCGAGCTGCCCGTTCTCCCCTGCTCCAGGAATTCTTTTGAAGATAACTAAAAACCAGCGGACCTAAGTATTTATTTTTAGAGGCTGTACACTGTAAAAGCTTTGACATTACGAGCCAAATCAACTGAATTTCAAATCGAGTGCTCCTTCTTAAACATACTAGTTTCGAATAAACTGTTTCACAAGCAAACATTGCAAGTGTAATAGCAAATAATGATGCCCATGGAACAATGGGATCTTTTATATAGTCTGATATATCTGGCATGTGGCAAACATCTATTGGGAATTTATTCAATGAGGCTATGCTGGCAGCATATTACAACACAGCAGTCTTGTTTTACTTGTGGCAGAAGTGCATTTGTGTTGCAGTTATTACATTATTCCATGGCTATGTGTGTAATTTTCAAAGATCAGGAATAGTTTAATACTTTTTAATTTGTGAATTACAGTAGAACATATGAATTACTATTTTACAGTTCTGGAGAGAACTTTGAGTTTTTCACCTTATACTAAATAAACTCTAATTCCATCTCCCTTGCTCCTTCATTTAGGTACAAAAACAGCAAGCAAAAATCTCTCTTTAATAGAAACCTTACACCATCTTCCAAAACTTATTACAGCTGCCTTCAGTATAAAATGAAACCTTAGAGAATGTTATTTAAAATGTTTTTTAGAAGTCAGTAGGCCTCATGTTTCATTTCTCCACATCAGGGTTTGATTTCCTTTGTGACCTTATTCTCTGCCCTTAAACAAACCAGAGAATGAGGCCTGAAACATCTTGGAAAAGTTCCTACTATGCCAGCATCAACACACAAAATGTGTTTAGTTTATCCCAATAGCCATCAATGATTTAATCTTTTATTGATCACTGTCAAACATTTCCTCTACCAAAAAGGAGGAGGCAAAGCAAAGAAGCAAAAGCAAAGTTATTACACTCTTGGTCCCAAATTACATTAGAAAAAAAAAAAAAATCAAATAAAGTGCATGCATATGTATAGGTAACTTGTGAAATTTCTTCACTAAGGGTAAATGTGTTAAAAACAAGCTTTAGTTGCCCTCTGACATATGAAGCGATGATTAGTGCTCGTCAACTCCCCCACTTCAGCAGAAGGGAGTATTCCTGTGCCCACACAGGCAAACAATGCAGACCCATCATGATGCAAGCTCAGCAGGGTTTCATGACAATGCTGGAGTCCAAGGACCACAAGAAACACACTCAGCATTGGGGAAAATAACTAAATATGGAGAAACTTCCACTAATTACAAATGACCAAGTATAATTCTGTACAGTATCACTTCTTGGAAATAGTCATGTCAGGATGCTATCCTGTCTTTCTTATTTCTCTGCAAACCACACACACCTAAAGACTCTGCTTAAGCGCAGGTACTGTCAAAACCATATTCATAAATCTCACATCACTATTTTGCATTTAAAATACTAGCTTTACATTTGTAAGCAGGTATCATCACTCAAACAACGGGCTACACTACTCTTAGATGGAAACGACATGTTCTTTTTTACTAAAGACTAGCAAAAGAGTCAAAGTTGCCTTTAAAAAAAAATCTTAAAGGCTGGTAAAACTAATTTTATCATTAGCCTTACATAACTTAATAATCAGGATCATCACTAAACTATAATGAACATATACATCTCTACTTATTTAACTCAGACAAACAGTATTTTCAAATAAAACAAGTTGGCAACCAGTCTCATAGCTCTGTAGCCCTACTGATTTCAATATTCCCCTTGCTCATTAATACTGAATAGCATCAGAACCTCAAGAAATAGCTCTTTAGCATTTGACCACTGAAATTTTAGTGTTTCACTCTCACTGCTAACATGTTTCAAAAACAAGTCAAGAGCATATGGTATAATACAGAAGATCAGCCCATAGATTAGCTGTCTTCAAGCATACTAAACACTACATTATAAGGACCATAAAAAGTAGTAGATACTAATTTCATTACCATGAATATTAGTTGTGTAGTGAACTACATACAGGTCTACAAGGCTTTTCATAGATACGCCCTGCTTTCTTAAACAGACCTTCCTGGTTCAACTGAAACGTAACAGATGTTTAAAAATGTTTTAAATTGAAAATCATTACACATTTTGAAGAACATTATATATATTGAAAAACTGTATATTGATCTGAAAATAATTGAGCCAAACTGATAATTATGTATAAGTCTCCATATGTTGCATTTCATTTCTACTCTAGTTCTTCCTGAGGTCTAGCTTTATAATACATTTTAAAGAGAAAGCATGCTTAATGCTGGATCCCACCTTAAGAGACAAACACCAGCTTGCTTTCTCCAACTTGCAGTTTAGATACAAAACCAACATCATCCCCATTTGAGGAGTCAATTACCTACAAAAGGCAGAGAGAAAATGATTGCTCATGTGAGGAATATCATATGTTCAAGGCTACAAGCATCTAAATTTTACACCACCATAAAAGTGCCCAGGGCTTGAGCGCTTCTGCTCAGAATTGCTTGAGCAATTCTCCTTGCTTATCTACAGACAAACAGACTCACTATCTGAAAAGACTGGTCTGACAAAGAGACCTGCCCAATGGCTTAGAAGAAACTGCCATTTAGCCTGTTAAATGTTAAAACTTCAGAATACCTTCCTTCCAGAGAGAAAACTGCAAAGAATCCAGGAAAGCTGGAAAATTCCAAGTTTCTGAAAAACTGGCACGATGGAAGGAGCTGCCCAGGAAGCTCCCAGCCCTGAAGGACACCCAGAGATGGGTGGGAACCCATCCTGCACAGATGATGGAGAAGTGACTGTAAGAACTATCCTGGGAATGACTATTGGAGCCTGCACACTTCACAAGGAGTCCTGAGAGTTGGCTCTTTAAGAAGTTTAAGTCCCTGGACAGGTGGTTCCTATAAAAGGGCCTCATCTCTCCCATCCTTGGCTTTAATCTCCTCTTTTTTTTTTTTCTTTTTTCTTTTTTTTTTGCAGCCAACACTGAGGGAAATCAGGGAGGAGAGAGACAGGAAAGTCATGATGCAAATGTATGAGGTAAAGATGCTGTGGTACGGAGGTGGGCAATAAGGGCCAAACCCCAAGTTTCACAGCCAACAGAGCCCAGAAGATGCAATCCCACCACTCTGGTCCTACTGTGGGGGGTGCAGGGATGGAAAATCTGCAGGAAGAGAGGCTGCTCGCCAAGCATGCCGGCAGAGGAAGATGTGAGGCAGGATTTGCTGTTGCCAGAGGCCAAAGTGGAGCATATTGTGACTGCAAGAGTGGCTCTGCCACTACTGGAGTGCCTTGGAAGGGAGAGGAGACAATAACCCCGGAAGGGGTGAGCTCTGAGGCCCAGCTCCAGGCCAAGTCTCCTTAGCAACCTGGTTGTGCCAGGGGCTGGGAAGAGCTCTGTAATTGTCTATCCAAGCCTCCTTGTCACCCCAGCACAGACAGTTCAGGACCTTTCATGGGAGCTAAAAGCCAGAACCAAAGCCCATTGAAGTCAGAGGAAAAACTCACATGGAATTCAATGAGCTTTGGATAAGGCATTTGATTCATTTAAAAAAAAAAAAAAAAAAAAAAATTACTCTTATTTTCTCCTTTTGAATGTGCTTGTTTCCTCTCCTTGCAAATGTGTGATTCAAGTGAGTCTAGGAAAATAAAAGCTGAATAGCAAATGCAAGACCAAACATGAGTTTGGGGGACAACAGAAAGATCCTCAACTGAGG